TTTTTGACGCTCTTTCGAATGCCGCTTACCGCGTGTCGCTACGTGGCCCAGGAACCGAGTTAGACGGGGGGGTGTTCTGTTCAGACACCCCCCGCGACCCGGGCCGGATGTCGCGGAGCACCGGCCCGGCGCGGGTTAAGCCGAATGGATTACTTAAATTTTCCGCATAACAACTACTGAAACCGTAAAAGAAGACAAACGGGGATGAAAATTGTGGCACTTTTTGTTTAGGTTTCGTTTAATTAGTGGTTGCAGGTCATGTTTGACGTACACTTTTGATATGCCGTCACCGGTGAGGCCGTTTTCGTATGTGTAAACCACACACACACACACACACACACACACACACACACACACACACACACACACACACACACACACACACACACACACACACACACACACACACACACACACACACACAATGTTTATTAAGGAACCGAACATACATACGAAATAAAGCATCATCAACGAAACATACAGTACAATAACTAACAACATAAGCGTGATAGCAGAGTGGTGCAAAAGCGCAATCGCTTGACTCGAGGCACCACTCTGAAACATAAGATAAAACATGTGAAACAACCGCCGCCGCCGCTGGCCAGCACATTCACCAATTCACCAATTCAGCACCTTGCACCCGAATCCGAGCCTTTCGCATTCCGCTCACGTATACCATCTCATTGGCCGCCGAAAACGCAGCTGCTCCAATCAGCACTGATTTCTCAGGACAGATTCGATCACCACTCGTGCAATCAGTCTGATTGATTGCTGACGTGATTGCACTGGGAAGAAATGCAGACTGATTTTGTTGTTGTTGTTGTTGTTGCTGGAGAACTATATCAAACGAGTCACTTGGTCTTTTTTAGCCTTGTTTCCATAGATCACCATAAAACAAAAACTATTCTCTATGTCATGGCTGGTGCGGCCTAGTGATAATGACAATGACTTGATACGACAGATCGCACTGGTCACGAAGCCAAATAACGCTCGGATAAGGCACAGGTGCCTCCCTCACCATGACTTGGAGCTAGCAAGGTCGATGCTCCGAAAACGGCTAAACGATCAGCCCGCCTGGCTTTCACTGCATATAACGCATTCACTAAGCTTTAGGTATAGCCACAAATTCGACCTTCCTATATAGTGGGTCACTAATGGCGCCAAATTAAATGTGGACACGCTTCAGTGCGTCATCGAGGCTAATCCCTTCAACAGCGCTCGCCCTGGTGTCCTCCCGTTGCCGCGGCGCACGGTGCCCCCGTTCTGTGTCCCATTTCGACTGAAATGGCCCACCTTCCGTCAACAATTAGCGGCGTGACGCGTCACGACACCTGCGCGACACGCCCCGCTATTGTCAGCTGACGCTACTGATAACGTCACACAGCCGGTCAAATCTCCTCAGTTCGCATCCCATTGGGCAGTTGGTCAGCAGAAACAGGTCAGCCATGGTCCTTGGGATAAGTGGGTGCATGCAGGGTGGCCGGTTGTTGGCCCTGTGGCCTCTATGTCAAAAGTTATCGCAAAAAATAAATTGAAAAGGTTTTCACACAAAAAGTTATTTTTACTGTTTTTGCGTTCTGGAGGCCACGTAATTGAATTTAGATAATATAAGAGGGCACGTTTGTGACACAGCCTCATAAACAGCGCAGGACGGGCGGCCCAGACACTTACACAGAGCTATCGATTGTTGTCCCGCGATTTTCTATCTCTATAAGTTCATAAGCTATGACTGAATTGCCAGAGATCCTCCAGATATGGAAGCTGTGACCCTTTATTACCTCTGATGATGTAACCTTTTACTTGTGCTTAAGATATATTTAGTTTTTTTTCTGTCATGAATTATGATGATCTAAAGAATGTTTCATTTACCATGTGCCGCTTATATACATATACGGCCCAGAAGCAGAGGAACAGGCGGGGATTAAAACGCCGCCGTTTCGATGTGTTATACACAATCGGACCAACCCGCCCCGGGACGGCGAAGTCGTGTAACTAAAATGAGCTTAATCTGCCCGGTGTTCCTTATCAGTCTGTTTTGGATGCCTAACTCCCCACCGACAGAGAAGTTTATGCCCCAGCTTCCGAGTGGTCACAGGTCAATGGTTCTCTGTGGGTTCTCTTATCGGAGCATTCTAACGTCTGATGTTTCTCGTTCGCTGGCCGGAGAGCCGATCGATGTGTTAAATGAGCTAGAAGAGTTAGACCCGATGTTCAAAGGACAAACACAACACCAACCCAAGCAGCGCGGTGAAACGTAGGGGAAGCGGGGGACGGGTAGCACCGCCATGTGGGAAACACCGCCATCCTCTCTATCGGCAAAACTCTGAATTGTAAATGTAAACACCCGCCATTTCGGTGTCCGAACGGAAACGGGACGCCACGTGAGGTAGGTTTCGCTAATATTTATTTGATTTTGAGATCGCAATTGCCCATTTTGTGAATTTCAAACCATCGTTGTAATCATTTGGCATGTTTTAGCAGTAAGTAAGTGGTCATTTCAAGTCAAAATGCCTTGATTTTTACGTTAAATTTGAGGGCATGAAGTGCTCTTCGTTGAGAAAGGAATTACAGAAGAATCGCGTCCCGGCTTGTTTTCCCGTCGGGGCGTTGTCGGTCCATGACTGTGTGTGGGGTAACACCGCCATGCTCGGCGGTGCTACCCTAAGGGGTGGCAAAATGGATAAAGCCGCAATGATGATTCACTCAGCTCGGAGAAGAGCTTTAGTTAGGCCGCAAACGTCGTCTGTTTTTTAACCTCACGTTTGACTTCACTGGATGTTTCGAAATAAACGTGAATTTGTCATGCTTTGTATGCATATTGTCCGCAACAAACAGTCTGATCTGTGACAAACTAACAACCAACTCTTGTGTGTCTTATATGAGTTTGAGTTACTATTTCAGACAGCAGTAACGCTTCCAAGGGTGGCTGTCACCGTAATGCCGATCTGTGGATAACATCGCCATCAGTGGCGGTGCTACCCGCACATTTTTTGGAGGACGGAAAATGCAGGACTTGTTTTCAATGTCTGTAAAGTAGCGAAATTTTATAATGGAGCGCTGGAAACTATGCCAACATGTAGGAAAACATTCTTACTTTCACATGAATGCAAGAGAGCTTCGTTTTTACTACGCATACACACAGAAAAATATTAACACCGTTAGCGGTGTAATTGCACAGTATGTACATATCTGAGCACTTGAGGAAAGTTAATTTAGTCCCTGCCCCGCTTAAATTACTCGCGCTTCTAAATGAACACCAGGAAGAAGGTAATAGAACACTGTTAGGAGGGTTGGGTGTTTTGCTACATGTAGTAGTGAGCAGAAATGCTTAAAGGGACTATCCCACCTTTAACATGGGGTTTGAGTTGAGATAGCCAAGTTTGCGGCGAGGTTCAGAAACCACTATCTATCTAGGTTGCAACCCCCGCGGCCTCTTGGTGTTGAAGAAATTCGTTCCCTTCATTTGAAAATGGGCCTTGTACAAGGCCCTATCTTCAACATGGAGCGACCGTTAGTGTGACGTCACCTTGTTTGGTCATTCTGATTTAAATGGGTTTGTTCGTTGAAAAATCGCTTAAAACTTGGTCTGAACTTTGTTGTGGTGCCTACAGAGTAAAAAGAATCAGCTTTACGACAGTAATGAGGCCTGGGGAAGGAGGTAATTTTGGGCTGTGACGTCACATATTTGAAAGTTCGTGTTTGGAATATGGGAAGCCTAAGATGTTTAATGAAAAATAAATGCCAGAACCGTGTTCCTGGTCATCCAATCTATAAAGTCGGGCACAATTTAACTGGTTTTAACAACATTTTAGAAGGTGGGATAGTCCCTTTAAGGTGGCGGTGCTCCCCCCGCTTCCCCTATAGGACCCCAGCATTCGCGTGTGCTATAGATCGAATTTGCATTTCTGATGGTGTGAACTGCAGTGAGGGAATGCGACACTGTCAATAAAGCCGGCCCAGGACGGCCTCTGCAGGATACGAAGGCCGATACGTGCCGATTAACTGCGTGACTGCACGTGGCCGACAGGCGTGACAAGCGCTAGTCACGAATCACAAAAGCAAGGTCGCTGAGGTTACGGTTGATCAGCCAGCTGAGTTGCGAGACATGCAGTCCAGCTGATCGGTTAGGTTAGGGTAAGGGACTTGATAAAAAAGCGAGTGTGAGCGAGTAGGCTTGCATTACAGTAATAACAAGAACGCTTGGGCTGATAAAAATACATTTATAATCAATTCAGTCCACATCGACTAATGCAGCAACCATGAGCCACAGCCGATATAGGTATTTACTCACATTGCGATAATGCCCTGGCCAGTCCTGCACAGTCCTCCACTGCTCGCTAGTATCACAGCTGCTGCCGGCTCTCCCGGTCCACCTCTCCACACCGCACACAGCTCCCGGCCGTCCGGTGTCTCACTGCCGCCTCTCCAGTGATCTGTCCCGCCTCACACGGCCGTACACCACCCGCTGGATTTAGAGCAGAACAGCGCCAGCAGCCGCCCGCCCGCCGCTGGGCCGTGACGCCGCCGCAACGTGACGCTGTGACGTGTCACGGGCGCGCGCTAATGTGGCGACGAGCGCCGGGGCCGCAGCGCGTGCCGAGAGTGGGACGATCCGTCACACGGCAAATCAACGGCCCGAGGACGGACGAGCCGAGACGGGTTACGGGTGTTACGGGTAGCCCGACCGTGAAACGGACACGCCGCACAGACGTGCGACTGGCGGTGCAGTTCAACATACGAGCACGAGGATCCATTTGTGGTTGTTATACCGATTGAGAGCACGGTTTCACAATCGGTAGACTGATTACGCGCCTGCAACATACAACTGCATCCGGTAGAAACAATCACGTTCTTGAGGTTGATTATTATTTAGGTATTGCTCGTAGCTTTCTGCAATCCCGAGGAAAACGCTTCAATAGCTCCTTGTGGGTGCGTTGGTAACCGTTATTCCACTTACCGTTTGCGTTTATTTATCGTTGTTACAGCAAAATAAGACAAACGAAATATATTCATTGTATTTCGTTGGAAGCGACACAACATAAACTGATGGACGAAATATAGCGTCACAATCTACAAAGTAACATCAATGCGAGTGTGCGTGTGTGAGCAAATATAACGCATCATTATTTTGCGTTGCAATAAAACGCTATGCTTGGCACGACATATTCAAACAACATACGATCACTTATAACGTCAATACCTAAGCGCGGCCCAGTCAACACCTTATTATGGCCTCGGCATATTCACGAGAAGCACCTTATGACAGTGGTATGATCAGATACGGGCAGATCGACTGAGACTCCAGGCCGGTCGCTGGGCCACCGAAGTGAGCACTTCTCGTACGAACAATGGCCACCAACTCGATAACACTGCTTTCCATGACTAGTACCTCGGTGTGTAGGCACACGACTTTGACGAGAAGCTTAATGGGTATCATTTGGCCTATCATAATTCTCACACGTAAGCCAAACAGGGTTTTTTCTTGCGCATTTGATGCGAGTTGAAGAGCTAATACGTGTTTTATATGCCATAACTAAGCAACACATACCAAAAATATAGCTTCTCCTGTGGCGCATACCATTGCTATATCAAAATATCAAACATACGCCACTGGCTGGGCCACTGAATTACCCGAAACGACTCCAGTAGCGAGGCGACTCGAAGCTCGCCCCGGCACCGTTTACAACATAGCATCGGCGTTACTCACGCTAAGTTCGAACAGTTGACGATGGAACCTTCAGCTTCCATCCTACTTGGTCAAACAAGGTCACAAGCTCGCACAATCACTTGATCATAGCTCGATACGTTACCCAAATAAGAACAGTATACTTCTGTAAGTCTCATTTCCGCACGGTTTCAGGCATCTGTTTCTCTGTCACCGGCCGCAGCCAGGCGCCGACATATCCTACCCGGTGACACCACCAGTTTGTAGTTGGGCTCCTCACTCAACCTGCACAGACCGTTAGGCTGGAGCACTTTGTAGTCACCACACCCAGGACTGCCTGAATTGAGAACCTTATAGTCGCCGAAGTCAGCTTCGCCCGGTTTGAGGACTTCGTAGTCCCTATCTTCAAATCTCCCCGACTGAAGAACCTTATAGTCTCCGTAGTCAGTACTGCCCGACTGTAGGACCTTATAGTCTCCGTAGTCGGTGCTGCCCGGTTTGAGGACCTTATAGTCGCCGTATTCAGTGCCGCCCGGTTTCAGGACCTTATAGTTCCCATAGACAGCACTGCCCGGCTGTAGGACCTTATAATCTCCATAGTCTGGCTCGTCGAAGCTGAGTGCCACCCTCGGCGGCTGATCGGGAGCTGTCAGCCGGGTCAGCGGCACGCCGGACGTTCTGGGCGGGGGCGGCAGGGCGGGCGCGGGCGGCGCGCTCGTCGGCACGGCCGGCAGCGTGGGCGACATGTATGTCGATGATAGCTCTCCCGGCGTTGGCGAGGACTCGGCGGTGGGCGGCGGCGGCGCCTCAAAGTCGGGTGGACCGAGCAGGTCACATAGCGCCGCCGTCGGACTGGGTACCTCTGAGGAGCGCGGCGCCGGCGGCTTGGGTGGCAGCGGAGGCGGCGGCAGGATCGGTGCACACATTATCGCCGGCGCAGACACCTGTAGGGGTGGGGAGGGAGTTATTGTCAATATTGCGTACTGACTGGTCAGTGGTCATCCCAAAACCTTCGAAATAGATATTTAGATACGAGTACAAGTCATCAAACCATAGAAATTGGCACGACAGCCATACTTTTCGGCTGCGCCTCATTCATTCAGCGTTCGTTGCAGCAGTTCTCTCTGCAAGATTGCATTCATATCCGTCCGGTGTTTACCTTTTTGGTGAGCCTGAGCGGAAGGCTGGGCCGGTGCTCCAGTGCTCCGCCGTAGACCACTGAAGAGACTGACGATGTGTGACGCTTTTCAGCAGCTGAGGAAGACGAAACCGTCAGACAGGTCAGTAAGAGACACAGGAAGATAAGTGGATAAGTCTCAAACATCATGGTTTCGTAACAAAAACCGGCTTCCATTATGCAGCGCAGCATCATTAATTTAAAAAAAAACGCGAATTAATGGTTAGCATTATTGAGTTACATGAGTTGTAAGCAGAAAGCAAGGACAATACAGCCTTCTGGGCTGGTAATATGCGTACAGAACAATACCAAAAGAGTTACGTTTCTATCCAAAGCCCATCTCGTCGGCACTTTCCATTTCCACAACTAAACGGCACGTCAAACAGCCCAGAAGACCAGCCCATCATCTACCCTCGCTCTTACTTACACCAAATAACACACTGCCCACTACCTAATCGTGTCGTACTCGAACTCAGAAGTATTGCTCACGTTTGGGCGGCAGCGGCGGTAGCGGCGGCTGGTCCGAGCTCCCCACCACAGACGACTGGCGGCTGACCGGACGGGATGGACCGTCACCAGACGGACGCGGCTCCGAGAGACGCTTCGGCGGCCGCTCGGGAGGGTCGTCGTCACTGAAAGGAGCCGACAGAACAGTGTGACTGGCCGAATATAGCATGGTTCGGCATCCGCTCGTCCCTAGCATGGATCTATGGCTCAGAACGGTCACATCTATCGCACAGAGTGTGTCATCATATCGACCAAAAACAGTCTAACGGTTGTCACAAAACATAACCAAAAGTGTCTTTTAACACGGCTATACCGTGTACTGTCCGCTCATATATCACATTTCATACCGGCTATCATAGCGTATTTCGGCTCTTTGTGCTCTTGTCTTCCACATCTCCTAACCCTGATATGCATCTGACATGTCACCTAAGCCGCAATGTAGGTATCCCAACTACCAAATCAGTCTCCGTCTCCCCACGTCTCTCACCCTCCGACGGTGAGCAGGAAGTATTCGTGCTGCTGGAAGTCGCCGCTGGTCTGTGAGCCCATCGAGCTCCTCCTGTCACCGAGCGAGTCCCAGTCGCCGGGTCGCGCGTACCCCAGCTCCTGTTCGGTCGGCTCGGTGGTCTGTACGCCGCTCCAGGACACGGAGGAGGCGGCAGAGGAGCGGCTACTGGGACACGAGCTGCTGCCCGGCCGGCGCCACTGGGGGACTGCAGCGGTCGGTACCGGCGGCAGTGGCGTGCTGGGGAGGGGGGGGGAGGGGGAGGTCAGTAGAGTACCGGCGGTAGCGGCGTACTGAGGGATCGGGGGCATGCCAGAGGTTGAACAATGTCCAACTCATCACAGGTATACATACCCTCACAGAACATCTTTTTGATCATGTTAGGCCTTATCAGGCACAAACTGATCCATACAGGCCACAGGGCTTCCCCTCCGTTTTCCTGTACCGGTTCCCAATTTCATTTCACGTTTTGAAAGACTTATTTTCAGATATGGTAATCCCATTAACAAAATCTAGGAGTTTCACCGTCACCCATTGACCTACCTGAGGATGCTGTCAATGGAGCCTGACTGTTGTGGCGGACCTACCTGAGGGTTCTGTCATTAGAGCCAGTCTGTCCTAAGTCTTTTGAACAAACCCACCTGAGTATGCTGGCCTTGGAGTCGGCGCCCACGCTGCGCCGGTGGCTGCTCTGTCGACTGAAGCGGGCTGGTCCCGGGGAGTCGGCGCCGGGCGCGGGCGGGGAGCCGGCAGCTGCCAGTCGCAGCTGCCGCTGGCACTGCAGCAGCCGACGGTGCAGCGGCTGCACACTGGCCGGCGCCAGCTGGCCGTGCAGACTGAGCGCCTGGTCTAGAATCGAGAGCTGCGGAGGGAAACAGAGGGGTCAGCTGAGGGGGAGGGAGCAGAGGGAGGGAGGGAGGGAGGGAGGAAGGGAGGGAGAGAGGGAGGGAACAGAGGGATCAGTCTGCAGAGAAGGGAGCAAACTGAGCGTCAGGTCCAGAATGGACAGCTGCCGTTTAAATATTTTGAATATAACGGTTAAATATCGTTTGAATAGCTGTATGTATCTACTAGATGGCCGTCTCCCGGTGTTTTCTTCTCTCTCCTAGCCCTCTGTCCTCTGGTCTCTGTCTGACCCTGCGGGTCTGCCCACCGACTGACCTGCTCCTGGATGAGCCCCTTCAGCTGTGTCACGTGCTGCACCATGTCCGGGTTCTGGGCAGCGAACTCGGCAGTGAAGAACGCCTCCTTGAAGTTGCTGTGACCTCCGTTCACCGCAGCGTCTATGATGCCCTACGCAGGCGATAGGGACGAAGCGGTAGGACAGGGTTAGAACGGAGACAAAATGCACGAATCCTCACTGTATAACAAGAAAAAGTTATTACGTCTGAGGGGATTACATATTTTCCTGTCAAAACGGAATCAAGTTTAATAACAGCGGCCGGTTAGCTCAGTTGGTTAGAGCGTCGTGCTAATAACGCGAATGTCATGGGTTCGACCCCCATACTGGCCAGTGCCCCCTGTTTTGACCCAGCCACTGTCAAAACACCGTCGATGTCACCCCACCCGCCCCTCTCTCACTCTCTCCACTCTCACCTGGAGCCGCATGCTGAGCGGACTGACGTTAGTATCAGCCACCGGCGGCGTGTACCGTCCGATCAGCTGACGCAGCTGGCGGTTGGCCGCGCTCACCGTCTCACAGCCGTGTCTCACCGGTGAGATGAGCTCACGGCGCGCGGAGCTCACCGGGAACCAGCGCAGGATGCCCGGCAGGGGCGACTCGATCTGCAGCACGGTCCGCTCCAGCCATAGGGTCTGAGGGAGGGCAGGGGGCAGATGTTAGAGGTCTGAGTCAAGTGGTCAAATGTCGGGAATGGACTGGCTATAGGACAGTCAAAGGTCAATGGCGGCGCAATTCACTCACATGAACGCATACCATCAACAATTGAAGTGGAAACAAGCTAAATATGATGCGGTCACAGGCACGAGGCTGACGGTCACAGGTAAGGTCATCGACGACCGGGCACAGGTCAGGCATGAATTGAGGTTTGGGACAGCATGGTCACAGATCAGACACAGCACAGTCACACACAACAAAAGTTAACGCCCAGTGCCCTCTGAGATCAGAGACCTGTTATTCCCCCAACCCCACTCGCCCCCAGTCTGCTCTGACTGACCTTGAACTCGTTGTCCCTGTCCACAGCGCCGCGGTGGACGGGCCGGTCGAACTGGAACGTGTCCACATCGTTCACAAGGTGGAACGCCTGGATTTTGGCGGGAACGTCGAGTTGCTGGCGGGAGCCGGACTCGCGAGCCACCGGACGCACGTTACAAATCTGAATGTCTGTGTGGGTAACAGGTCAAGGAAAACAACGAAAATCGGCAGTCGTTGAAGTAGCGGGAAGCTTAGAGCCAAGCTTAGAGCACTAGCTGCTTAAATATTGGAAAACCCTATCGAAGATGCGATAGGCGTTATCACAAGTGTATTCGCGGCCATTGGGGCGACGTAAGAAAAGAAGAAAACATCTGGCCCCAAGAGCTTTAAATTATCAGTTAGCATGCAACTTTTCCTTTATGTGTAAAGAATGTACCATTAATTGTTAGATAAAATTGCATTTAAAATCTTCCTTTTATGTTTTTCCATCGTTTGCACAATATATGCTTTTACTAAGCCAGAAACACTAATAATAAATAGTTCCAGCACCATCGCCAAGAACAATAAGGAAGCCTTGAAGTGAATACAATATTCTAAACGGACTTGCAAGATGTGAAGATCACTTCTAAAATTGCCTGTAGAAATATTGAAGGCAAAAGTTCAAGTTTTTCACAAGACGGATGTCTATAAACCTATTTAACGTGTGACAACTCAGCAGGTATTTCGTCGCCTACAGCCCAGCTTTCCCTAGTGACCGATAGAGGCGCTGCTATCGATGTCCACCCGTGCCGCCTAACGGCGTACAATCTATGAATACGTCTACTACCGACAGCATTCCATAAACTTATCATTTGCAGAGACAGCAAAATCAGAGCCTGATTACCTCCCGGCACAAATTAAAATATTTCGTCTTCCGTAGTCGGAAAATACCCCTGATATCCCGTTTTTATGATATGTGCAGAAATATTGAAAGCAGAACCTCTCAGCATCCATGATCGATACGTCTCCACTCATGTATGAAAAGGATACACTGCGCCGGTGCGTTCATGATGTTCTCGTCAGGTGGCGCCAGTGTAGTCATCAGCTGAGCGGCAGGGAACTCCGTCTGCAGGCGCTGAGTGAACGTGGCCAGCCGCTCGTACTCCAGACCCCGGTACACAAACACCTTGTTCTGTGGAGAGGAAACGGGGAAATGTCAAACTCTGAAGGTAAGCTCGATAAAACATTTGACCCATCACACTGAATAGAATTCCGAATTATGTCCTCCTCTTCCCCTCCTCTGCCTTTGCTCACCCAATGCCCTCTCTTTACGTACCCTGACGAAGGGCGGAAACTGCTGTCCGTAGAAGCCCACTCGGAAGTACTCCGGCTCGGGTCTCAGCTGGCTCATGATCCGGTCATAGAAGTCCGCCATTGTGCGCAGAGTCTCACTGAGCCGTCCGTAGTCGAACACGCGCGTCTCATATTGCTCGGCGAGCTCCTTCAGCAGGGGGATGCCGAGCTCCCAGCACTTGGCGCGGTCCACATAGTCGACCATCTGCCGCAGCAGCTGCTCCTTTCGCTGCCACTCACAGTGGGCCGGGTAGCGCAGGTCGGCGTGCAGCACCCGGGTGCTCCACTCGAGCTGATCGGCGTGCAGGCGCAGCGTCAGCGCGGCCTCCACGTAGTTCTCGGCCGACACGTGCAGGTCGTGCAGCTTGTAGATGTAGCGCTGGTACATCTCCGAGCGGTTTACCTCGCTCTTGTAGAAATTCTGACAAACGAATGGCCATGGGTTAACAGAAACCCTCATCGGGCGAAAAACGTGAGTGACGTATATGGTCTCACAAGTTAAAACGATCCATTATTTTCCTGCATCGAAATGTAACATAAATATAAAGTGGACTCCACTGTAGTGCGCGGTAGGTACAGCGAAAGCTCAAAGCGTTACAACGGAACACAACCGAACCGAACGCACTTTATCGAGTTATCTAACAAGAAAGCGTTACAAACAACCTAAAACGGACTACCCGTCGACGCCCCGCGACTGACCAGCAGGTTGACGGTGCAGCTCATCCGTTTGTCCCTGTTCTCGTCACCCTCCATGACCTGGCGGTAGTCCAGCAGCCGCTCCAGCAGGCGCGTCACCGACAGCACGAACCGTACGCCGGCGTCCCGCCAGGGCGGCCGGCGCTGCTGTACCTCCGTCAGCAGGCTGCAGGGGAGAGGGGCAGGTCAGGTCAGGGCGGGTCAAGTCAGGCAAAGGTCAGTGCAGGACAGGACAGACTACAGAGCACATAAGATATTGTAGGGCATGGCAGGAAAGGATATGGAAGGTCAGAACAGGTCGGAACAAGGCAGTGAAGAGTATGGAAGGGAAGAGGGATGCGTGGTAGGACGGAACTGCCGGTAGGACGAAGATGAATACGTCTGGGTCAATGTCTACCTTGCTATCTAATCTGCTGTTAGTTGTCTAAATCAGAGTCATGATCACACATCCTGCCACCCTTGCCGACATTGAGGAGTACCGAGTACTGCTAGGAAGTACCAAGTGTTAAAGCAATATAGGAAACTTACATGTTCTGGAAGAGCCTCCGGTAGTCGTCGTCGCCCTTGTCTTCACTGACCAGGATGTCCAGTTTATCAATCACCTCAGTCTCAACCTGTCACAAAGAACAGCAAGTGAGGCGCACGCATAGAATCACATGCTGTACACACTACACGGAACCACAATGGTACAAAACTTCGATGTGTGCTAGTTTCTGTAATCGCTCAAATCAGACCTGACCAAGCTCCGGCAAAAATAATCACCAGCAGAACTCAAGCACACACAAACCAGCGGTAAGTCATTTGTGTTTAAAGGAAAAACAAGTCTCGCAAAGCGACAAATGCAAAACGCTATCACCTGTAATCTTTAGATCAGACTCCCGCTGTGGATGATTCCCGACCCTGTACCTCTTCCTACCTGTTTGAAGGTCCCCCTGGCGGCCTGTTCCGCCTCCATCAGCTCATAGAAGACGGGCAGAGTGGCCCTGCGCAGCTCCGGCGCCGGCAGCAGCGTCAGCTCCAGCATCGGACCCACCAGAGAGGGTACGAAGTGCACCTTACGGTCACCTGGTGAGAGAAATAGGAACTAAACATCAGAGACGGCACAAAGTGCGCCTTACGGTCGCCTGACGGGAGAAATAGGAACTAAACATCAGAGACGGCACAAAGTGCGCCTTACGGTCGCCTGACGGGAGAAATAGGAAAACAACAAAGACGGCACGAAATGAAGCTTACGGTCACCTGGCGGTGGAATGGGCAGCTAAACACAAAAATGGCCCACAAATTGCAGACCCGCCAGCACTCATCAAAATTCACACAACGTATCACTTATCAAAATTCACATAACCTATCACTGCTGTGAATGTAGCATGACAATCATTTGTTTGACGCTCGAGTATTTCCCATACATTTCACTGAGCTGGTACAGAGCACCCGCCATCCATCGGCTCAGTGCTCACTAGAGTTCTGCACGGCTGCAATTTTCCACAGCCTAGCCGCCCCGCAGCCGTGGCTCCACAGCCACAGCCGCCCACAGCCGTGGCAAACTGTGGGCAGCCAGCCGTCAGACGGCCGTGGATACTTTCAATGAAATGCAACCAAATAGTATATAATAAGTTGTTTTTAGTTGAAACATATAGCCAAAAGCATATTGCAATGGGCTATAGATTCTCAAGCTCATGAAGCATCATAGGTTAAGTGGTTGTGTATCTGGCTTTAGGCGGAAGGCCTGAAGCCTGATGCGCATCGCATGCCTACACAAGCCCTTGCAAGGGGTTAAGAAAGATGGGTAGGTAGGTACCTACATCAACAGAAAACATAAACAACGAACCAGAATAGAAGCACTAGCAGTGTAGACATCCAATACCAAATCCTGAAGCATGGTTGAGGGACAGAATAACAGACTCTGATGCTTTTCATTATCAATGTTAGGTATGGAAAATGAAACTGAAGTTGATGGACTGTCATAAAGTGATTGTCTAGTCAAAACTCTTGCTTCTTTCTTACCTTGCATATTTTCTGGGGTGTGATATGCGTAAGAAGGATGAAAGAAGTGGCAATGGGGACCTCGGAAGGCTTGAAGCAGCCTTCTGAGCAAGTCTCAAAACTATTTTGATATGCAAGGCATCAAAACACTAGTGAGCATCCAAGAAAGAAAAAGTCATCTATTTTGATTTTTCCAAATAATGATCTTCGCTCAAATCCCCAAGGACGTGCGAGCCACAATTGCCTCTTTCAATCAAAAATTTCACTTGAGTTTTTAATGACATCAATAGCAAAGAAGTGGCAATTAATTGTTTTGTGTCACTATAAACAGCCATAAAAATTATAATCAATAAATAATAATGCTTAACAGTAGAAAACTTGCTCTCAAACAAAGATTAATTATCAAATTTTTACGTTTTCAGAAGAAGACGTCATTTTATTAGTAAAGTCAACAGCTCGCGTAGGAAATATTGTGTTCAGGGTTTTCACCGTCATGTGAATTACGTGTTCAGGGTTTTCACCATCATGTGAATTAACCGTAAGTAAGGTTCATGCTCACTTATAATCTAATTCCATTGGCTTTGTTGATCAGCATTTTCTGTTAGCGGTCACTCACACACCAGTTAGAACATAAAGCGCCAGTTTTATATTATGTAATTGGACATGTCGAAAATCCAGAAATACATCTAAGAGTTATTTTAGATAATATTTTATGAAGCCTTTACCTGCCTTTATCTAGACGTGATTTCTTTTTCTATTACCTGAAAGAATTATTGAACGCTCGTCTTCAATAGCTGTAAGGTGCTCTCCTAATGACCAGGTGAGATTGATTTGAGAGGGATGTGACAATGCAACATATTGCATTTTCTGAATCTGTCAAGCTCTTGATGAAGGAACAATCGGTACCTATAATTAGTATTCTGTACCAGAGTGCAAACTCCCCTACAGCAAATGGTAAAACCATTACAGGTTTTCAAAGGCTTCACCACTTTCAATGTTGCTGGGCATCCTTTGCATGATTTTTACAGGCTAGACTGCTTATCAGAATGTAAGATTGAGGATTTAAAATTTTATATTTGAGTACTTAACCCTCGCATGTGTAGGGGGGTCGGATGGACCCCCCCCCCATGGTTTTTCGCGAATAACTCGCGTAAAAAGCGGCCGATCGCGACGAAACTTTCAGTACCCTCACATTGATCAATTTTACACCTACCCTGAAAATTTCATGACCCTGACCCGAATGACCTTTGACCTGTGACCTCTTTTCCGAGACCATGTTTGGCCGGAATCGCGATTCTGCGTATGTCGGCTCGCAATAGCGGCGCGTTTGCAAGCTTTTCGTAGTTTCAAACGTTCAAACATGTGATTTGATGTTCCTTCCATGCATGAGGGTGGGTGTCAAGGTCACCTAAAGGTCAGGTCAGGTCATTGACCTTTGGTGACCTCGGGTGACCTCACTCACCTCGGCTCACTTTTTCGAGCTGTACATGTTTCTAGGCTAGTTTTTGGAGCTGAATTCGAATTTAGCAACCATTTGAACATTTACGAAGTAGTTTTGGTGCCTTCGTAACATGTTACGAAGCTGTCAGAGGCGGTTGACACGTACTACGAATACCCGTCACGATGCCTACTGGTTGACCTGACCTGACCTGACCCGACCTGGTCTAAATGCTTAAAGACATCATCTGTGATCAAAACTAACACGATATTCGTGATCGGCACCCCGAAAAGCCCCATAGCAGCCACAATTTACGACTTTCTAACAGGTCCCGATTTTCCCGACTTTGGGTCATTGACCTGACCTGGAAGGTCGCCCAATGACCTAGGACCTTAAAATTGGGTATCATCGGCTTCCTCTCGTCACGGGCAACACGCTCGTTTTTTCCGCGAAGCTCTAGCTCGATCAGGGGCCAAACGGCAAGGGGGGTCCAACCGAGCCCCCCCCCCCCCCTACACATTAGAAGCTGGCAAACGCCGCACACATGCGAGGGTTAAGATTGAGCTTGAAATCTCACAGCCGTGGCCACAGCCGTAGCCGTGTTATTGGAGATATTTGCAGCCGCCCCGGCCCACAGCCGTGGGGCTGCAGCCAGCCGCGGCTGCAGCCGGCCGGTGCAGACCTCTAGTGCTCACCGAGCAGACGCCACATGGAGAGCACCTCGAAGCCCATGACGATCCGCATGTCCTGGTAGTTGTGCAGCAGCTTATCCCGCTTGATCTCCGAGAAGGTCTCCAGCTGAAGGTCCGGCTGGGTGGCGAACGCCACAGACAGTGTGAAGTAGTTGTGCCACAGCTGGGGACGAGAAATCGTGATAGTACGGTCAACGTGCTTCATTGCCCATTGGAGCCCAATGCCTAATACACTCGTGAATTTAGCCGAGTGTAATAGCTTGTCATGACCATGTGGCAGCTATAAGGTATAGCAAAAGCCATTTAATTAAAATACACCGAACAAGTCTCCTTCTGGTTGCCCCTATCGAGTATACAGCTGGCGCCACCTATAGAAGACTGCAGTGCAGCGCGTTGAGCGGTACAGTCTACATTCAGGCGCTTGCACTAACGCCATCTATGGACAGCTTTCTGAACTTGAGTCAACGGTAATATGTTTACGCTAAAGGAATTAGGAGTATGTTTAACCCTTTTGTGCATTATTGATGACATCGTTATGCAAATACCTATTACAAAATGTATAAAAAAAATGTGTATGGCTTCCATGTCCGTGAAGTTAGCGTCAGCAACAGCAACGAATACAGCGTCGGATTCAGAATCGCTTCAAAAAGTGCGATCAGGTCAATTGGGGGACAGGGAACACGAATATGACATTTATTTTGCCATAGCTCCCTTCCTTCATCCCTTAATCGTCCCTTAAAGGACGGGGCGCGTCAAAAGTGCCCCAAGGCTTCGTCTGATCGCCAAAATAATGGTCGCAATCGATTCCTCGGGTCAATATCTAACCTCAGTCGAAGGTTCCAGACCTGTGGCTCCTATCCCTCATCCCTTAATCGTCCCTTAAAGGACGGGGCGCGTCAAAAGTGCCCCAAGGCTTCGTCTGATCGCCAAAATAATGGTCGCAATCGATTCCTCGGGTCAATATCTAACCTCAGTCGAAGGTTCCAGACCTGTGGCTCCTATCCCTCATCCCTTAATCGTCCCTTAAAGGACGGGGCGCGTCAAAAGTGCCCCAAGGCTTCGTCTGATCGCCAAAATAATGGTCGCAATCGATTCTTCGGGTCAATATCTAACCTCAGTCGAAGGTTCCAGACCTGTGGCTCCTATCCCTCATCCCTTAATCGTCCCTTAAAGGACGGGGCGCGTCAAAAGTGCCCCAAGGCTTCGTCTGATCGCCAAAATAATGGTCGCAATCGATTCCTCGGGTCAATATCTAACCTCAGTCGAAGGTTCCAGACCTGTGGCTCCTATCCCTCATCCCTTAATCGTCCCTTAAAGGACGGGGCGCGTCAAAAGTGCCCCAAGGCTTCGTCTGATCGCCAAAATAATGGTCGCAATCGATTCCTCGGGTCAATATCTAACCTCAGTCGAAGGTTCCAGACCTGTGGCTCCTATCCCTCATCCCTTAATCGTCCCTTAAAGGACGGGGCGCGTCAAAAGTGCCCCAAGGCTTCGTCTGATCGCCAAAATAATGGTCGCAATCGATTCCTCGGGTCAATATCTAACCTCAGTCGAAGGTTCCAGACCTGTGGCTCCTATCCCTCATCCCTTAATCGTCCCTTAAAGGACGGGGCGCGTCAATAGTGCCCCAAGGCTTCGTCTGATCGCCCAAATAATGGTCGCAATCGATTCCTCGGGTCAATATCTAACCTTCAGCCGAAGGTTCCAGACCTGTGGCTCCTATCCCTCATCCCTTAATCGTCCCTTAAAGGACGGGGCGCGTCAAAAGTGCCCCAAGGCTTCGTCTGATCGCCAAAATAATGGTCGCAATCGATTCCTCGGGTCAATATCTAACTTCAGTTGAAGGTTCCAGACCTGTGGCTCCTATCCCTCATCCCTTAATCGTCCCTTAAAGGACGAGGCGCGTCAAAAGTGCCCCAAGGCTTCGTCTGATCGCCAAAATAATGGTCGCAATCGATTCCTCGGGTCAATATCTAACCTCAGTCGAAGGTTCCAGACCTGTGGCTCCTATCCCTCATCCCTTAATCGTCCCTTAAAGGACGGGGGCGCGTCAAAAGTGCCCCAAGGCTTCGTCTGATCGCCAAAATAATGGTCGCAATCGATTCCTCGGGTCAATATCTAACCTCAGTCGAAGGTTCCAGACCTGTGGCTCCTATCCCTCATCCCTTAATCGTCCCTTAAAGGACGGGGCGCGTCAAAAGTGCCCCAAGGCTTCGTCTGATCGCCAAAATAATGGTCGCAATCGATTCCTCGGGTCAATATCTAACCTCAGTCGAAGGTTCCAGACCTGTGGCTCCTATCCCTCATCCCTTAATCGTCCCTTAAAGGACGGGGCGCGTCAAAAGTGCCCCAAGGCTTCGTCTGATCGCCAAAATAATGGTCGCAATCGATTCCTCGGGTCAATATTTAACCTCAGTCGAAGGTTCCAGACCTGTGGCTCCTATCCCTCATCCCTTAATCGTCCCTTAAAGGACGGGGCGCGTCAAAAGTGCCCCAAGGCTTCGTCTGATCGCCAAAATAATGGTCGCAATCGATTCCTCGGGTCAATATCTAACCTCAGTCGAAGGTTCCAGACCTGTGGCTCCTATCCCTCATCCCTTAATCGTCCCTTAAAGGACGGGGCGCGTCAAAAGTGCCCCAAGGCTTCGTCTGATCGCCAAAATAATGGTCGCAATCGATTCCTCGGGTCAATATCTAACCTCAGTCGAAGGTTCCAGACCTGTGGCTCCTATCCCTCATCCCTTAATCGTCCCTTAAAGGACGGGGCGCGTCAAAAGTGCCCCAAGGCTTCGTCTGATCGCCAAAATAATGGTCGCAATCGATTCTTCGGGTCAATATCTAACCTCAGTCGAAGGTTCCAGACCTGTGGCTCCTATCCCTCATCCCTTAATCGTCCCTTAAAGGACGGGGCGCGTCAAAAGTGCCCCAAGGCTTCGTCTGATCGCCAAAATAATGGTCGCAATCGATTCCTCGGGTCAATATCTAACCTCAGTCGAAGGTTCCAGACCTGTGGCTCCTATCCCTCATCCCTTAATCGTCCCTTAAAGGACGGGGCGCGTCAAAAGTGCCCCAAGGCTTCGTCTGATCGCCAAAATAATGGTCGCAATCGATTCCTCGGGTCAATATCTAACCTCAGTCGAAGGTTCCAGACCTGTGGCTCCTATCCCTCATCCCTTAATCGTCCCTTAAAGGACGGGGCGCGTCAAAAGTGCCCCAAGGCTTCGTCTGATCGCCAAAATAATGGTCGCAATCGATTCCTTCGGGTCAATATCTAACCTCAGTCGAAGGTTCCAGACCTGTGGCTCCTATCCCTCATCCCTTAATCGTCCCTTAAAGGACGGGGCGCGTCAAAAGTGCCCCAAGGCTTCGTCTGATCGCCCAAATAATGGTCGCAATCGATTCCTCGGGTCAATATCTAACTTCAGCCGAAGGTTCCAGACCTGTGGCTCCTATCCCTCATCCCTTAATCGTCCCTTAAAGGACGGGGCGCGTCAAAAGTGCCCCAAGGCTTCGTCTGATCGCCAAAATAATGGTCGCAATCGATTCCTCGGGTCAATATCTAACCTCAGTTGAAGGTTCCAGACCTGTGGCTCCTATCCCTCATCCCTTAATCGTCCCTTAAAGGACGGGGCGCGTCAAAAGTGCCCCAAGGCTTCGTCTGATCGCCAAAATAATGGTCGCAATCGATTCCTCGGGTCAATATCTAACCTCAGTCGAAGGTTCCAGACCTGTGGCTCCTATCCCTCATCCCTTAATCGTCCCTTAAAGGAGGGGGCGCGTCAAAAGTGCCCCAAGGCTTCGTCTGATCGCCAAAATAATGGTCGCAATCGATTCCTCGGGTCAATATCTAACCTCAGTCGAAGGTTCCAGACCTGTGGCTCCTATCCCTCATCCCTTAATCGTCCCTTAAAGGACGGGGCGCGTCAAAAGTGCCCCAAGGCTTCGTCTGATCGCCAAAATAATGGTCGCAATCGATTCCTCGGGTCAATATCTAACCTCAGTCGAAGGTTCCAGACCTGTGGCTCCTATCCCTCATCCCTTAATCGTCCCTTAAAGGACGGGTCGCGTCAAAAGTGCCCCAAGGCTTCGTCTGATCGCCAAAATAATGGTCGCAATCGATTCCTCGGGTCAATATTTAACCTCAGTCGAAGGTTCCAGACCTGTGGCTCCTATCCCTCATCCCTTAATCGTCCCTTAAAGGACGGGGCGCGTCAAAAGTGCCCCAAGGCTTCGTCTGATCGCCAAAATAATGGTCGCAATCGATTCCTCGGGTCAATATCTAACCTCAATCGAAGGTTCCAGACCTGTGGCTCCTATCCCTCATCCCTTAATCGTCCCTTAAAGGACGGGGCGCGTCAAAAGTGCCCCAAGGCTTCGTCTGATCGCCAAAATAATGGTCGCAATCGATTCCTCGGGTCAATATCTAACCTCAGTCGAAGGTTCCAGACCTGTGGCTCCTATCCCTCATCCCTTAATCGTCCCTTTAAGGACGGGGCGCGTCAAAAGTGCCCCAAGGCTTCGTCTGATCGCCAAAATAATTGTCGCAATCGATTCCTCGGGTCAATATCTAACCTCAGTCGAAGGTTCCAGACCTGTGGCTCCTATCCCTCATCCCTTAATCGTCCCTTAAAGGACGGGGCGCGTCAAAAGTGCCCCAAGGCTTCGTCTGATCGCCAAAATAATGATCGCAATCGATTCCTCGGGTCAATATCTAACCTCAGTCGAAGGTTCCAGACCTGTGGCTCCTATCCCTCATCCCTTAATCGTCCCTTAAAGGACGGGGCGCGTCAAAAGTGCCCCAAGGCTTCGTCTGATCGCCAAAATAATGGTCGCAATCGATTCCTCGGGTCAATATCTAACCTCAGTTGAAGGTTCCAGACCTGTGGCTCCTATCCCTCATCCCTTAATCGTCCCTTAAAGGACGGGGCGCGTCAAAAGTGCCCCAAGGCTTCGTCTGATCGCCAAAATAATGGTCGCAATCGATTCCTCGGGTCAATATCTAACCTCAGTTGAAGGTTCCAGACCTGTGGCTCCTATCCCTCATCCCTTAATCGTCCCTTAAAGATCGGGGCGCGTCAAAAGTGCCCCAAGGCTTCGTCTGATCGCCAAAATAATGGTCGCAATCGATTCCTCGGGTCAATTTCTAACCTCAGTCGAAGGTTTCAGACCTGTGGCCCCTATCCCTCATCCCTTAATCGTCCCTTAAAGGACGGGGCGCGTCAAAAGTGCCCCAAGGCTTCCTCTGATCGCCAAAATAAGGGTCGCAATCGATTCCTCGGGTCAATATCTAACCTCACTCGAAGGTTCCAGACCTGTGGCTCCTATCCCTCATCCCTTAATCGTCCCTTAATCGATGGAATCGATTGCGGCCCTTATTTTGGCGATCAGACGAACCCTTGAGGCACTTTTGACGCGTCCCGTCCTTTAAGGGACGATTAAGGGACGAGGGATAGGAGCCACAGGTCTGGAACCTTCGACTGAGGTTAGATATTGACCCGAGGAATCGATTGCGACCATTATTTTGGCGATCAGACGAAGCCTTGGGGCACTTTTGACGCGCCCCGTCCTTTAAGGGACGATTAAGGGATGAGGGATAGGGGCCACAGGTCTGAAACCTTCGACTGAGGTTAGAAATTGACCCGAGGAATCGATTGCGACCATTATTTTGGCGATCAGACGAAGCCTTGGGGCACTTTTGACGCGCCCCGATCTTTAAGGGACGATTAAGGGATGAGGGATAGGAGCCACAGGTCTGGAACCTTCAACTGAGGTTAGATATTGACCCGAGGAATCGATTGCGACCATTATTTTGGCGATCAGACGAAGCCTTGGGGCACTTTTGACGCGCCCCGTCCTTTAAGGGACGATTAAGGGATGAGGGATAGGAGCCACAGGTCTGGAACCTTCGACTGAGGTTAGATATTGACCCGAGGAATCGATTGCGACCATTATTTTGGCGATCAGACGAAGCCTTGGGGCACTTTTGACGCGCCCCGTCCTTTAAGGGACGATTAAGGGATGAGGGATAGGAGCCACAGGTCTGGAACCTTCGACTGAGGTTAGATATTGACCCGAGGAATCGATTGCGACCATTATTTTGGCGATCAGACGAAGCCTTGGGGCACTTTTGACGCGCCCCGTCCTTTAAGGGACGATTAAGGGATGAGGGATAGGAGCCACAGGTCTGGAACCTTCGACTGAGGTTAGATATTGACCCGAGGAATCGATTGCGACCATTATTTTGGCGATCAGACGAAGCCTTGGGGCACTTTTGACGCGCCCCGTCCTTTAAGGGACGATTAAGGGATGAGGGATAGGAGCCACAGGTCTGGAACCTTCGACTGAGGTTAGATATTGACCCGAGGAATCGATTGCGACCATTATTTTGGCGATCAGACGAAGCCTTGGGGCACTTTTGACGCGCCCCGTCCTTTAAGGGACGATTAAGGGATGAGGGATAGGAGCCACAGGTCTGGAACCTTCGACTGAGGTTAGATATTGACCCGAGGAATCGATTGCGACCATTATTTTGGCGATCAGACGAAGCCTTGGGGCACTTTTGACGCGCCCCGTCCTTTAAGGGACGATTAAGGGATGAGGGATAGGAGCCACAGGTCTGGAACCTTCGACTGAGGTTAGATATTGACCCGAGGAATCGATTGCGACCATTATTTTGGCGATCAGACGAAGCCTTGGGGCACTTTTGACGCGCCCCGTCCTTTAAGGGACGATTAAGGGATGAGGGATAGGAGCCACAGGTCTGGAACCTTCGACTGAGGTTAGATATTGACCCGAAGAATCGATTGCGACCATTATTTTGGCGATCAGACGAAGCCTTGGGGCACTTTTGACGCGCCCCGTCCTTTAAGGGACGATTAAGGGATGAGGGATAGGAGCCACAGGTCTGAAACCTTCGACTGAGGTTAGATATTGACCCGAGGAATCGATTGCGACCATTATTTTGGCGATCAGACGAAGCCTTGGGGCTTTTTGTCGCGCCCCGTCCTTTAAGGGACGATTAAGGGATGAGGGATAGGAGCCACAGGTCTGGAACCTTCGACTGAGGTTAGATATTGACCCGAAGAATCGATTGCGACCATTATTTTGGCGATCAGACGAAGCCTTGGGGCTTTTTTGACGCGCCCCGTCCTTTAAGGGACGATTAAGGGATGAGGGATAGGAGCCACAGGTCTGGAACCTTCGACTGAGGTTAGATATTGACCCGAGGAATCGATTGCGACCATTATTTTGGCGATCAGACGAAGCCTTGGGGCACTTTTGACGCGCCCCGTCCTTTAAGGGACGATTAAGGGATGAGGGATAGGAGCCACAGGTCTGGAACCTTCGACTGAGGTTAGATATTGACCCGAGGAATCGATTGCGACCATTATTTTGGCGATCAGACGAAGCCTTGGGGCCTTTTGACGCGCCCCGTCCTTTAAGGGACGATTAAGGGATGAGGGATAGGAGCCACAGGTCTGCAACCTTCGACTGAGGTTAGATATTGACCCGAGGAATCGATTGCGACCATTATTTTGGCGATCAGACGAAGCCTTGGGGCACTTTTGACGCGCCCCGTCCTTTAAGGGACGATTAAGGGATGAGGGATAGGAGCCACAGGTCTGAAACCTTCGACTGAGGTTAGATATTGACCCGAGGAATCGATTGCGACCATTATTTTGGCGATCAGACGAAGCCTTGGGGCACTTTTGACGCGCCCCGTCCTTTAAGGGACGATTAAGGGATGAGGGATAGGAGCCACAGGTCTGGAACCTTCGACTGAGGTTAGATATTGACCCGAGGAATCGATTGCGACCATTATTTTGGCGATCAGACGAAGCCTTGGGGCACTTTTGACGCGCCCCGTCCTTTAAGGGACGATTAAGGGATGAGGGATAGGAGCCACAGGTCTGGAACCTTCGACTGAGGTTAGATATTGACCCGAGGAATCGATTGCGACCATTATTTTGGCGATCAGACGAAGCCTTGGGGCACTTTTGACGCGCCCCGTCCTTTAAGGGACGATTAAGGGATGAGGGATAGGAGCCACAGGTCTGGAACCTTCGACTGAGGTTAGATATTGACCCGAGGAATCGATTGCGACCATTATTTTGGCGATCAGACGAAGCCTTGGGGCACTTTTGACGCGCCCCGTCCTTTAAGGGACGATTAAGGGATGAGGGATAGGAGCCACAGGTCTGGAACCTTCGACTGAGGTTAGATATTGACCCGAGGAATCGATTGCGACCATTATTTTGGCGATCAGACGAAGCCTTGGGGCACTTTTGACGCGCCCCGTCCTTTAAGGGACGATTAAGGGATGAGGGATAGGAGCCACAGGTCTGGAACCTTCGACTGAGGTTAGATATTGACCCGAGGAATCGATTGCGACCATTATTTTGGCGATCAGACGAAGCCTTGGGGCACTTTTGACGCGCCCCGTCCTTTAAGGGACGATTAAGGGATGAAGGAAGGGAGCTAGGGCAAAATAAATGTCATATTCGTGTTCCCCGTCCCCCAATTGACCTGATGGCACTTTTTGAAGCAATTCTGAATCCGACGCTGTATTCGTTGCTGTTGCTGACGCTAACTTCACGGACATATGGCTTCCAACAGCAAACATTGAAGTCGTCATACACCAAAACACGTCCAACTCAGCTCCCCGAAGCTACTCGCGGTGCCGTACCAGTTGGTTGAAGCTGTCTCCCTGAAGGAAGCGGGCTCTGAGAGGAGTAGAGAGCTCCTTCAGCGTGTTCAGGATCACCTTGTTGACGGTCATCTTCAACACGCACCAGTCGCGGGGGTACATCTGAGGGAAAATAGGCAGTCAGGCTGAGCTACAGGACGGTAGAGCTGAGGGACGGCACGCATCAGCCATGGGGGTAGATCTGAGGGGATAGAGGGTCGGTCCTCAGACTGAGGGGCGGCGCGGAGCGCTGGCACTGCCACAAAACTGCTAGAATGGCAACATGATCAGGTCTTGGTGGCAGAGAAGGTCACAGGAGATCAGCAAAGAGCAATTACTGGTGCGAGTTTATGCCTTTTTACTTTCATATCATTATGTATTACGATCACAATACACCATATACCGAGTAAAATTGACCCAGCAATACAATTACTTATGCTGCACCTAACCCAAAGGTGAAAGGTCATGAACATACTCCCTACCCAGGCGCGGGCCAAGTGACACTTCCAAAATAACTAGAACCCGGACCGATGATCTGGTCGCACAGCCCAGCAAATTCTCACCTGTTCGGTGATGAGCTCCCTGAAGAGTGCCATCAGTCGCAGCAGAAACTGACAGAGCTGCTCGTCGTCCGCCATTTCGGCCCACAGATGGCAGTAGTGGGCCGGCGCCATCAGTCGCAGCAGGGTGGCCAGGGCAGCCACCAGCCGGCCGCACTGCCCGCCGCCAGTCCGCAGGGGGGTCGACTCGAGGGAGAGGACGGCTCGCACCAGCGTGTCGGCGAGGTACAGAGAGAGGATCTCCACCTCCCGGCCCGTGTCGCCGTCACCGTCACACTGGGGGAAAGCAGCAACAGCACAGAATCGTCACAGACCCGTTATAGGACCTACAGGGAGAGTCTACTCTCGGGACTCGTCTCCAGACTCGTCTAACTATTTCTTCATATTGCCCTCCGCTCCATTTACATGATGTTTGATGGGCAAAGCGCCATCAACTTCAGACAGTTTACATGTGCATAAGTTCGCCGGAGTTCTCGTCACCTTGAGCTGCTGGACGATGGTGAGCAGGTCCCCGAGTAGGTCGGTACTGAGTCGAACCTCCTGGCGGTGCCCGATGTGGTACTGCAGGTGCTTACACATCGTCTGTAGCAGCTGGCGGCGGCACTCTGAAGCGGAGGAAGCGGAGCAGCTCAGTTAAACTTTCTAATGGCGATAGGAATTCGATATTTGTCCAAGCAACAATAGCGTTTTTGAAGAGACATTGTGCTGATAAAAGGCTCCTGGTGAGCAGCTTGCATAAGGATGGGTCTCCTATGAAGCCTAGCCAGCTCGACAGACGCTGCAATTCAGCCTGCTCTCCAAACCAATATAAACTCACAATTAGACCGATCCCTGAGTGTTGACTTCTAATTCTGACCCCTGCTGTTGACCCCCAACGCTGACCCCATGCTGTCCGGTGACCTTTAATATGACCCATGTCGTTGACCCTGACCCTCACCTCTGTCCTGAAACAGCTGCGATCCTACCGTGGCCTGCATGGCCTTCAGCTTGGCCTGCGTGACGCACGTCTGGGGGTCGCGCGGCAGGGCCTCGAACATGAGGGAGAGCCGGCGCGCAAGGTCGGCGGCCGGCACCACCGCGGACAGACGGTCGCAGACGGCCGGTACAGACGACAGCAGCGCCACCTGCGATAGATCAGAGTGTTACCAGTGCCTAGTGCCTACGGCAGAGGAGCGCACGAGTTTTCAGACAATTGGTCTGACACCAGCTAATTGCAGAACACAAAAAGCATTACAAGAACATGAGGTAGCCATGTAAAAGTGAGGGGCAATGCGACTGATGTAGATGTGCTACCTTTCACAAAAGCTCTGCAACCAGCCTGGCCTCAGTGCTATCAGCTGCCCTACCTGTGCTATGCCTTCAGTCCCTTTCTATTTATTCGCCCCCACCTGCGTGCTGCTGGCTGCCTTCTCCTGCATACTGTCAGCCACCTTACCTGAGTGCTGACGGCAGCATCGGGCCCCGCGCTGGACAATGTCCTGTTGAACACGTTGAACAGCTCAGCCAGGTCGACCCTGAACGTGTCGTCGGACCCGCCGCCGCTCTGACGCGCCAGCAGCTGGCGCGAGCGGACCACGAACTGGAAGACGAGCTCGAGCGCGCGAAAACAGCGCGCCAGCGGCTCCTGGCGCTCGGCCACCGACACCTGCTCGGCGTAGTGGCGCACGCAGCTCACCAGGCCCCTGAAACACCGGGCAAGGTCATCAGAACTGAAGGTCCCCCAAACCTAGCCCCGTCAGATCATTTGCTCACCACATCTCTGAAACGCCGGATCATCAGACCCGACCCTCCAGACATCCACCAGACCACTGATACACCAGAGTCCAGACCATCACTCACATTCACGCCCACCAGACCCGAAACATAGCAAGCCTGCACAGTGCACACGCGGCCTGATGCATAAGACCCCCGCAACCCCGACACGTAAGACCAGCAGCTCAGCACACCGACCCTACGACTGTGCTCCGTCACCAGAAGCCGATCCAGCTCAAAGACAGCGTTCTCAAGCAATAAATAGTGTAAAGCGATTTTGGAAGTGGCCGCTTCTTATTCCAGCCCTGGGTATGTCGATGGGTAGGTACTTACTTGTAGACCAGGGCGGCGGCGAAGTGGCCACTGACGTAAGCCTCCAGCACGGGTCGGAAGTGCTCGAACCTGTTGTCCTGCAGGTGACTGAATATGCTGACCTGAGGAGAGATATCGTAGCATCGTGTCAACCATTTCGTCATCGTCTGTTTGATGGCAAATTTATCGCTTGCCTACTGTCTTCCCTGCCAGACCGATAATCGCCTCTTTTGATCAATGAACAAACCATCCGCCCTCCCTAGATATAGCTCTCGTAGATATGTCATGTTCAATATGTCATACATAAACGTGACTATTTGTTTCGCTCACCTAACATCACCTTGATTGTCCTGATGATAAACTTTCAAGTTAGCAAACAGGTTCTGGCAAACTTATGCTACCACTTCAAGTGAGTTATTTCAACAAACCGACCATGGCATCACAAAAAAGATTCAGCGCAGACTTTTATGCGGGAGACTAGCTTTGCTAGTTTATCGACGGCATTTTCATCAACTTCCCTGCCTCGCTCAACTCTAGCTGTCATGCCCGTTGCCAGAACTCACCAGGGCCTGAAAGACCAGTCCCGAGTGCTGGGTGGCCGTGCCGTCGTCGTTGGAGAACATGGCGAACAGTGCATCCAGCACGTCCTGCAAGAACTTCATCACCTCCTCTCCCTTCAGCTTCATGACGCGGCTGAGCGTGTCGGCGATCCGTTCCGGGTGCTGCCGCCACTTCAGCAGCGACAGCAGGTCGCCTGGGGGTGGTGGTAAGGGACGGTTGGGGTAAAGGGAGGACCGGTATCACACGAATAATACACTGTTAACTGTGAATAAATCCGACGCAGATAGGCACTGCAAAACCAAGACGAAGGTTCATGAATGCGTTACGTGCAACTACACATGCCTCCAGCTCTACCTCCAATCATATACCTAATCTTTGAAGGTGCATAAACTCCATTTCGCTTGACGGTGAGTAGCACCTAGCGGTATGCATTCTTCGCATGCCGTTTGAAACATAAATAGCAGTAGATGACTGGTCCGCATGAACCAACTGCTACGCTCGACTCAGCGTAGCTTACTGTTTGCTATATACGCTGTCACTAAGATTTGTAAAAGTTTACCTAACTTCGCACTGATCGTCGTCGACTCACCGTTCTGTGTGAGTTTGGTGGAGCAGAGCTGAGTCTGGACCCAGACAGATTCGCGTGCCGACCGATTGAAGTGGTGGTTCCCACCGACCATCGCTTCCGCCTGACCCGAGTGCCACGCCAGGTTCAGGTACGACGCCGGGTTCTGTCGGTCAGAGCACAATATTTATAACATTTACGACTAGAGACTGAACATGCTTAATCGGATATATCGGCAACAGAAGCAGATCAGGCACGCATTTTCACAAGTTAGCTCGACGATTTACACGGCCGGAATTATATCATGCACAACGATCAATGTTTCTTTGAAACTCATTAGCTTCCGCTGTCATGACCCTCAAGAAAGAGCCGTCCTCCCATAGCACACACGCACAAAATAGCGTCATCACCACCAGCAGTGTTCCAAGCACGTCTGAACTACCCACACGAACACGTCGCCTGTCATTTTCAGACGCAGGAGAGCTGCTCCGCCCAGTGTGAGCGGTCATTTATGCACGCTCGGCGGCCGGTAAGTGGACGGTATTGACACAGGACGCGGGAGACGGACATACCGCGGCACGGTCGGTCACAGAGGGACATTGGTATGCCGCGGGTGAGATGGAACTTACTTGACCATGTGAACAGGTCGGGACAAGAGCCATACGAGACTGTACGCGATCCGAGTGGGACGGAATTGGACGGAAAAGGACGGGGTGAGACGGGAAGGGACGGAAAGGACAGGAAAGGACGGCGCGGGACAGGAAGGGACGGGAAAGGACAGAAAAGGACGGGGCGGGACGGGAAGGGTGAGCTGGGACGAGACAGGTCGAAACGGGACGGAAAGGGGCAAGACAGCCAACCAGACATCAAACATAATTCAGCGACATCAAGAAATGGTCTAAGAAAGAACTTAAAGCAAACAGGTCCAATCGACCAACGCCAGCAGTTCATAGCAAACTGTATTTGATCTGCCGGCCGTTACCAGCAGTGTGTGCCCAATGCCCATGTCTCTCCAATCATCTATCAAACACTGGACGAACGCCCCCCCCCCCCCACACACACACACCAGTAGTTAGTGTTATTGTCATCCGTCGTCATCCTCTGTCCCTGTACGACAACCCACCAGCAGTTTGTTCCTGTCGTCACATTTATAGACACAGAGCTGACGCAGTCCGTCGCCGATCGTCGCCCCGTCGTCGTCCATCAGCCGAGCGAACGCGAACGCAAACAGCTTCTGCTCAGCGCGCTCCTTGGCTGCGAAAGGTCACAACAGGTCACAGGGAGGTCATAGAGGTCAGAAGATCACATGGAGGTCACTATGGGGACGAGCGGGTCCTGGAAGGGTTGAGAACGGGGCACAACAGGTCACGGTCATGTGACATCAGGTCATGGAGAGGTCATGAAAGGAAGCAGGTAGGTCGGAGGCGGGTCATTGCAGGTCACATGAAGGTCAATCAGGTCAAAGGAGGGCCACAGCAAGTTACAAAAGGTCACAGACAGATCACAGCAGGTCATCTAAAACGCGTACACTTATTTTACTGAGGTCAACCAAACAGATTCAATATTGAATACGTTAGGCCCAATAGCTGGCTAACCCAGCTATCGCGCCTATCTCCCCGCCCTATCATTCAACCTTCAGTTCACAGCTCGACCCTTCCCATCCCCTCTCCTCCCTTTCACACTTCTGCGTCGCGTCGGGCACTCGTTTCCGCTGACAGACCCGACCAAGTTTCGACAGCCTCTCCCATCATCACCCGTCCGGTCCCATTACACACATCATCACCATCGCTTGTCGCCGTCTTTACCGCTTACCGCCAGCACCGACCGTACACAGCCCACGTCGCCTCGACGGCGGTCAACACGCCCCGTTGCAAAAGAGCTGCGATGACGCGTCGGGGAGCTCTGACCGCCGGCGGCGGCGGTGGGCTGCGTGCCAGCCGGCGGCGGCGAACGCTCCGTGCCCCGGCGGGCGCACGTGCGGACTGGTGCGGTGCAGTCACGGAGACGGATGAATGCAATGAGCGCAATGTATGAACTATGATGCATTGGGTAGACTGCACATATGTCAACGATAGTCAGATGGCTCGCGAAGGCTGAGATGGGGGACATTGACAGAGAAGCTCAGTGTAATGTGAATGTATTTATAAGCGGGTTTATACCTAAAGGGAATATCAGGTAAACAGTCAAGCCATTACAACGGTCAGCGAAAGACGTCATATTGAGTGAGGTACCAAACTATACCCAATTCAAAGCACAAATGTATAGCGTAATAAATCGGAAATGACGGCGGATGTTATAGACCGGCCCAGTGGGGCTGAGAGCAGCCCCTGAATTCCAAGTCTGAAGTGAATGCCACCATCTGCCATCCACGCGAGATCGGTGTCCATTTCCGGTGCTAAAGGCGGGTTCAGACGTCTGTTCAGACGGGCGCGACCCGCCGGTACGCGTGAGAGAGACGCCTAGTCAAGGTTACGGAAACAAACTCCAGAAACGATAACCCGCGCCCCGCTGGGGGGGGGGCAGAATCTGCCCCCCCTACCGTTTTTCGCCAATAACTTCTAAACGCGTTACGCCAGCGACGTCAAACTTTCAGTACCTTATCATACATCAATTTGACACGTTCCCTGAAAATTTGAGCGAAATCCGTCGGAAAATTTTTGAGAAATTGACGTTTTAGTGACGTCATGTTCGCCATTTTCGCCTCAAAAACGGCAAAATTTCAAACGCCGCTAACATCTTCATTTTTAAAGGAATCAAGACGTAACAAAAAAGGTTATACGTGATTCTACTTTGTCTATCAAATGGCTATCTCGGTTTTTTGAAAATTTTGGATTTTGGCCAAAATTTTTCCAAAAAACTGACTTTTTTGGGAAACATTTATAAAATCCAAAATTTTGAGTTTATCGAAAAAACCGGAATATATGTCAAAGAAGTAGTCTATGTGCACCTACATACCAATTTTTAGAAGAATCGGTTCAAAAATGTGGGAGTGATTCAAAATTTTATGACGTCACGACACACAAAATTTTTGAAAAATGATTTTTTTGGAAGTTCGGGACCTCGTACGAAAACAAAAATAGCACCAATCGATTCGCCGTGAAAAACTGCATCGGATAGACACCTTTTTAGGCCTTAACAACCAACTTCAAAATTTGACCTCATTTGACCTGACCTTGACCTGACCTCGACCTGAAATTCATCCAGAGGTGGTCCATATCACTTATTGAGTGTGCCTATTGAATTCCATGAGTAAAATGACCCATAAAACATGTGTCGCACATGCCCTTTTCTATATTTTGTTTTTGGTGACCTGACCTGACCTGACCTGACCTTGACCTTGACCTTTGAATGACATTATGTGCAACAAATATTGTTTTGGTAGTCTAAGAACACATTTTGGGCAATCAGTCTCAGTCCATTCTTCGGCAACTACGGTGCAAGGCCGATACTGTAGAAACTTGCATTTTGTACCCTTGACCTGACCTTGACCTGACCTCTGACCTTTTTAAGCAAAAAAATTTGGGCTCTTAAGATCCGCCTTGTTGAGAGCTTTCGATTGCCGTTTTCCCCGTCTTTCTACGACCATCGGTTCGGAAGTTAGACAGGGGGGGCAGAATCTGCCCCCCCCCCCCCAGCAGGGCGCGTATGGCTGAATAGCCCAGCGGGGCGCGGGATAACAAACGGATGTGACCCGGCCGGCCGACACACAGACGGCAGTGTGAGTGTGAGGAACACCGGTGTTACCAGGCGAGAGCTGACGTCACAGCCAGCGCTGCCAGATAGTGGAGACACGGCGCGGTATACACACGGGGTGGGGTGTGTTGCCAGACCGCAGAACCGGCGGTTTACATAGGTGACGGCTAAAGTTATCTTGGGTGACGCATGGGGATAGTGTGTAACCGAGCCCAAGCGACTGGGACCTTTGTCTGCGACCCCAGACCGCACATATTTGCGCTATGACGGCCAGATAACAGCCGAGAGATAGGGATAAAACGGCCCGAATCGCCTTTCGGACAACCGCAGAGCGCAGCTAAAGCGTGTATAAAGACGTAAGCATTGTAAGTGCGGTGAAGAGATATGCACTTTAGCTGGACGGCGAATCTCAGCGATTTTCTGATAAAGGATTCGATGGTTAATGAATTATTACCGTCCGGGTACGACATCCAAAGTTGGGAATGAAAAACCACAACGATACGTGCCTATTTAGGACCGGAGCACAACACAATATTATTTGGAATCACAAATATTTGCAGGAATGTTTCAGGGAGAGCATTAGGTATTTGCTAATTAACTTAACATAATCCGTTTTATATTTCATCTTGCATAGAACGCAAACATATACACTAACACTATACACAAAGCTTTTCAGCGCATGTGCGATAACGGTGGAAGAGTGTCATTTATGTATGCAGCTTTTCCCGGCTCCTTCTCTAGCAAACATCGAAAATAACTTTTCCAAATTCCATGACATCCACAACGGACTTAGTGTCGGAATTTTCTTAGGACTTGCATAAAGCAGCTGGATTGTAACCCGGGTTTACCCATGGACGCATGCAGATACTGCAGGACTGACCCGCAGTTGCCTTACGCAAAACTGCTGGAGCCGACCCGCAGTTTCCCATTGGACAAACTGCTAAAGTTAGCAAATAATTACTACCGGAGAAGCTTTAGCTGAACTTACTGCTGGAGCAGTGGCTGAACTCGAGTCGCACGTGGGCGGCGCCGAACAGCTCGATGGGCACCGCCAGCCGGATGGTGTCGGCCCAGCGCGGGGTGTTGTTGTGGTACAGCACTGTCGAGCTGTACCGCTGGGTACCCGGCTGGCCGGCGGCGCTTACAATGCAGTCCTGGGGAGACGGCAGTTCAGCGTGTTAGTGGTATTGTAGGGACAACAGCGGTGACTGATGGTGCGGGGATTATTGAGAAATGTGGCTGAGGTAGCTTGTTGCGATTCACGAATTTCTGTAGCACAACAATTATCATTCTTATTTCTAATTACAACTACAAAAAAAATAATACGTCAAACACTCAACAATGCCTTAGCAACGACACAAAAATAATATGACTGATTTCCTGGAGCACATGTTTTAATCGCGGATTTAGTCCGCAGAAAGTCGTACACAGACATCGTGCCGACTCTCCAGACCGCGTCCCGTGCCGTCCGTCTTACCTCCACTAGCCGTCCGTCCCCTCGTTCCGCCTCACCTCCACCAGCCGTCCGTCGGCGCGCACCACCATCACCGCCACCTCGATGTTCTTGCCGGTCGACTTGCCGCCTCTCTCGAACTCGGCACGGTCCAGCGTCAGGTACAGGTCGTTCCTGAGGGGAGAGTAATTTACCGTCAGGAGTACAGGTCGTTCCTGAGGGGAGAGAGAGTAGTTTACCGTCAGGTACAGGGCGTTCCTGAGGGGAGAGCAGTTTACCGTCAGGTAGGTACAGATCGTTCCTGAGGTCGGAATACCATAGCGTCCGGTACAGGTCGTTCCTGAGGTCAGAGTACCATAGCGTCAGGTACATATCGTTCCTGAGGGACTATTACGATTTACGATGGCGTGAGTCAGGTACAGGCCGTTCCTACACAGAGGCACAGTGGTCATGAGGAGAGACGTAGCGTCAGCTCTCTTCTGCCCGCCATCTCTGCACCATGCGCTCCTTGCGTGAAGGTCAGGCCATGTCAGCTCTTTGAGGGGCTGTTCGCGTGGACAGATACACAGGTAACTCTGCCCTATCCCGGACCCGATTATACTGCGGCAGTAGCGGCGCCGCGATCTGCGCCGATATCGTCTCGTGGCGCGCCGCTGCGCCGCCACTCGTCCCTCCGGCGCCACAGCCGCCTCAGCAGCGCTGTGTTCAAGGCGGGAGCGACAGTAGCTGTAGTCTGGGGGGGGGGGGGGGGGCTGGCCACAACTACTCAGAGATGGATATCGGATGATCGGAATCCGAGGAATGTCGGGACAGGAGTGCGGTCAGGTCTGATTCCTGGAACGCATGGCGAAGGAATCGAAGGCACTTGTAATCACTGATCTGTACTGAATTTTTAATGAGTGACCATCTGTCGCGTCTTCGGGGCAGTCTGAGCGGCTTCAGAAGGAAATAAACGAAAATCGAAATGCTGTTACACACCTCAACTCGCAAAATAGCTGAAGAGGTGAAACCCTGAAAAACGTGTAGCGTGAAGCTTGTGGACGAACGGAACACGTTCCGTGCAATAGGACGTTGCTATTAAAACGCAAGCAATCGTCATCATCAATCAAATAAACAATAAGATACCTATGAGGCGACACTCACCTAACATCTCCGGGCATGATGACGTCCGGAAATCCAAGTTTTCTGGCGATGGCAGCGTGTTTCAGCAGCAGGGGATGGTCCCGCACCAGGTGCGATTGGCTGCCGTTCAGGAGTCGCAGCGACAGAGACAAACCTGCGGATAGCGCACACGAGACACACAGTCAGTAGATACAGAGGCGAAGCAGAAAACCATCCGAGCCCGGACATACCGTGGGTGGATTCCACAGTCACTGAGCTATTCTATTGTCCCGTGTTTATTGCCCATTGCATTCATCCATGTCGTTTGGGAGATAACATAAATATTTACTTTCAGTGCAAGACAAAAATGGGAGACAATGCGCTTCATTTAATTTTTTATTCGGGCAGTGAAGTCTAGGTGCTTGAGTAAAGTGAAGTTCGAACTCAATTCGTGCTCTTATTCAATGCGGCATGGTGAGGGAGAGCAGCCAGCAGCAGCCCTTGACCTCTGGAAGCCCCGCTGACCTATCCGCCGCTGCACTGACCGTAGCTGCCCTGCCCGGAGAGCGGGCTCAGCTTGCTGGCCTGTCGGATGATGAGTTCGTGCAGCTGCCCGAACTCCCGCTCCTCAGCCTGCTGTAGCCGCACGGTGAGCTGGCGTTCAGTCGCCTCCCGGCCTCCCAGAACGTCCCACAGACAGACGGCTGCACAGCCCAGCGGCCGCCGCAGGCGCTGGGGCCCCGCGCGCCGCCCGGATTCGGCCGGAAACATGCGACCCAGTCGGAGGGCGCGCACTACCAGGTGCAGGTCCGGCGCGTGGTCCACGTCACCCAGATCCTGAAGGAAGGGGGGAAACGGTCAATGCTGCAGAAGAACGGAGGCGAGAAAACGGTCACACCTGGCAGAACGATGTCAGGGAAACGGTTGCAGATACTGAATTTGCGTGAGCACTTTCGCGAGGGACATGGTTGCTATGAATAGATGGACGCTTGCTGTTTGCTAAATAATGCAATTTTCGCTCAATCAAATACAAATTGAATGCGCTGCATTGAGAAAGTCGTGTAGAAAATGCATTCGTGACTCGGCACTTGTGACAGAAAGCTCACCAATAATGAATAATTTTTCAATCAATGCCTGTGTTGCACGAAACCGTGACAACGCTAACAGCTAAATAAAAATGTTCAAAGGAAAGGTTCAAACGGGTTAGGTGTCTCGTGAACGACAAAAAGGACCGACACTTCGACGATAGTGAAGCAAGCTTAGGTATGTCGATGTAGCTCAGGTGCTGGCTTATGGAAAAGGGGCAACAGTCCATTGGAAACATAGCAAAGGCAGGCAGCTGAAAGAAAAACGGCATTTCATGAACATTTGGTATAAAAACCGATTTGGGCCAACAAAAAAAAAACTTTTTTTCTGGAAACGTACTTTTAATTATTAAATAAATCAGTTTCCTTGCGTGACGTAAACATGTCGGGCGGCACAATTTTGAACAATCACGATCGACCTTTTTGATGAACGGTCACATGCATGTGAACGTTCGTCAACAAGACTAATTGTTAGCGAGACATCCTCCGATTACCGAGTTTGATTCAGCGCCGACGGTCTGGCGCCCTGTAAGCGTAGCACACCAGCCTGCTACCGTATTCAGCCCATGAGTCATTGCCATGCACGTGCGGCTGCCAGCCCAGTGTGATCGGTGTGAGACGCGACACCATCGGCACAGTGGGACGCCTTCCGCGCTACTCAGCATGGCTGCGGCGTGTCTTTGACGAAGTGGCAGCACAAGTTCCCCATCCGACACGTCCCCGAGATACATATCTGCGGCTTGCGCGCGCCGGGAGGGGTGAGAAGGTAGTAAGGTACGAGTGGGAGTGCAGTGGTTTTATTGAAGGTACGCAGAACGTGTTAGTCGTTTAGATACACGCAACTGCAGAGGTGCTAATAAAACCCGTCAAGATCAACTGCATCTACAAAAGGGATAGTTTCTGTGCCTCCAAAAGCCTAAACTTTCACATTCAGATGTCACGTAAAAAAAAGAGCACGTTCAAAAAGCAGCGCCCTTGTCGTGATCACCCAGCCTCTTATACACTGATCTATCGTGTAAAAATACAGCCGTATTACCTGAACTTATGCAAAAGACGTTTCCCAAGACAGATGCTCGTATGTCGAGCGATGAAGTCGCTATATCCACCCATTAGTCACTTCCCGGTGTATCGAATGCACGTTTAACACTGCTTAACAGCAGCGCTGCATAACATCATCTTACAACGTCTAACGCTTTTGAAAACGATGATTGCAACTGTAACTGGCAGCCTAGAAGTGAGTAAAAGAAGGAAAGAAAGAAAGAAAGAAAGAAAGAAAGAAAGAAAGAAAGAAAGAAAGAAAGAAAGAAAGAAAGAAAGAAAGAAAGAAGGAAAGAAGATGATACCTAATCGAAAAGATGAGACAGGTATCGTTGTTTACTTACCGTAAAGACTGCTGAGTTATTGTTGGCAGACTTGTTGCAGAAAGGCTTGGAGCCATCTCGCGATATCAAAACCACAAATCGCTCACTGTCGAAAACGAAGAGAATACCATGTCAGAGCAAGAGCGAGACAAATAAAAAAGTTATACTATATAACACTCAAAGCACCTAACAGCAACAGAGGTCGAGATCTTGGGGGGGTCGGGGGGGGGGTCCAGGACCCCCCTGAACACGAATTACTGATATGTAAGTCAATGGTACTGCATCCAGCCCGCCTCTATCTGCCCGGCCTGGACCCCCTCCCCCTTAAATTTTGACAGATCTCCACCCCTGAACAGCAGAACACTAATTTATGTGGTAGAGCAAACTCAGCATACAAAGAAAACGTTCAAATTTATAACCCACGTAGCTAGTTAGCTTTGATACGAAATCATTTGTCAAAACGACAGTAATTCAGCGATCCTGAGATAGGTAGTCACCAATCCACCATGGGCGTCTCACCTGATAAACCTGGCGCGTTTGGCGTCGTACAGGGAGAAGTCGAGCTCCACATCTTCGACGATAGGGTAACAGAACTCGCTCACAGACAGGTGCAAGTTGTGATTGGTCACTGTCGGCTCTGCTGGCTTCTTCTTACGGAGCGTGCCCCGTATCTGAAAGAAAATAAGCGCAGGGGTTAATTACAAAGGCTTCTTTTCAATGTGACTCGGAGTGATGGAATGTGACTAATGCGGTTACGGAATAGGTACAACATTAATTGGAAAGCAAAATAAATCGAAAGTAAGTCATTTTTACCGAAAAATATCGATATAAAAAAGTTAAAATGTCAAATACAGTAACGTTTATGTCCTGATAACACATTGAACAATTAATGCTAGTTTCAAAGCCACTTACCGACATCCCTTGTGACGTTTCCAGACTTTGCGAATGCTGGAATACCATAAGAGGTTAGAGGCGTTAAAATCGGGCGAAATAAAATATGCGCTTATCACTGGATAGTGAATATTGAATTCCTATACTTTTGATTACGAATGTTTGTCCTATTCTTTGGATAAATGCACTCGGCAATACAAAACATTAAGCAAAATATACGTTCAAAATATACGTTCATTCGTTAATTGCTACGAAAGGTAAACCAATACTGCATAGGTATTGCATGATGAGCTGCTAGATACATATACGTTGTCTGTTTCACTTTGTTCCGTTTGTCTACAGCGCCAGTTTGTGCGACTGGTGGTGTCGCACTCACCACGCGATGGAGGTCGACGACGGAGATGGTCTCGGGGTCCACCATACAGCCGTCCATGCGGGGCACCAGGTCCAGACCCAGCCGTCTGTGGCAGAGACAGAGATGAACGGTCAGATAATGCATGAGGCAGACATAGGGACTGTCGGAACACAGAATACACGTCAAATAGCGTGGACGCCTTTTTTTAGTAGGTACGAAGCCACATTCATAAAAGTGAGGAAAATACGAACTGAGAAACTTTTAGAGAGAATCCCCTCGCTTGGTCTTCAGCGTCCGATACCACCCGTATGGATATCCCAATGCATTTGCCTACATTTCGAATATAGGCAACAGCTCAACAAAATCAAGTTTTCGGTTGAAAGCTGGTCTTCAGCTGCAAGGAGTGCGTATCCTGTGCAAATACGCTTTTGCGTGCCGGACTGAAGAGTGAGCAATAAATCATCGTTATTAGCCGCGCTGTCCTAGAACATAGCTATCTATAGTCCATACCTTCTAGGTCAAAGTTTGCGTCACTGGATTCTTCAACCTGATAAAATCAATATATTCAGCATGCAAGCAGGTGATTTTACGACCACCCAAAACTACGATTGAAATTTAAAGCATCGTATTTTGAGAAGTATTTCTATACTTCCTCGGACAGAAAGATGAAAATAGATCACCAGCACATGCCGGTTCGCACCAGACAATTCAACTTGCGGCCAAACTTAACCCTCGCCGGCACAGGGGGGGGTTGATGCAACCCCCCCTAAGGTTTTTCGCGAATAACTCGCGTAAAAAGCGGCCGATCGCGACGAAACTTTCAGTACCTTCGCATTGATCAATTTTACACCTACCCTGAAAATTTCATGACCCTGACCCATGGGCGGCGCCACCGGGGGGGACGGGGGGGACAGGTCCCCCGCTATCGAAAGTTAGGGGGGTACAGTACCCCCCTATCGGCGAGGCCCGTTCAATAGTTGATAATAATGCATTGTAGAGTTATCCGTCGCATTTAATGCATCGTTGGTTAATCAAGGCAGGTTCTGAATAAAGATTGCTGTTGGGATGTATCGCAGGGGGTCCTGGCCATCTGCAAAAGGTGTGGAGCTGTGATGCCTGTAGTTAGAAGGTGATCGGCAGGGCCTCGGGGATCGTGCCCCCCCCCCTTTTTGGGGCGCCAGGCAGGGTAATTACCTCCCCACCCCACTGCCAGACCCCATTGCCGACAAAACCAAGTTTACTGAAATTCCATAGATTTCCGTTACTATATGGATATTTTCCATTCCTAATTAGTCAAATTCAAGCATGGCAGTTCTACCACAGGAACCATTTGAAATCTATGCCATTTAACCCCAGCAAATCTATGCCATTTAACCCTACGTGATACGTGAAAGGTTCTACATGAAAATTGAGATGCACCAGCTTATCAAATTGAAATTGTGCTCACTGTGGTGCGCTCGGTTTTACCTTGACTAGTCTTTGCATTCTGGAGTGAAACAGACCAGTCAAGAAACCTGTTCCATAAGGAGAGCCACTAATGCTAAAGAGATGAGGGATGAGGTTTCCAGAGACCTTCATTACCTCCCAAAGGGGGTGCCCCGCCATTTGCCAATCCCTGCTGTAGTTGTTACGATTGGAGGGTGAATATGAGAACGATGCAGGTCGTGCCAGCTCGATCATGACGAACACAATGGTGCCGACATCACAGCTCTACTGCCAATTTCGACGAAGTTAATCAACAAGGACTGGAATCCTACCCTGGGGCATGTCACCTACAGAGGTCGCCGGACCTGAGACCCTTTCACTCAATTTTTTTTCCACGGTGCATGCGCTCGTTTTTCCCGCGAAGCTCTTGGTAAGTAAAATCCATCAGAAAGTGTGATTAACCCGGCGGCCGCTGGGCCTCCGCGCCACCCGCCGGCCGCTGGGGGGGGGGGGCATAAAGTTGCCCCCCCCTTTACTTCTGCGACGATATCGTCGCAACGCGAAGAGATAGAGAAGCGAAACTTTGCATACATCTTCCTGAATACCTAGCCAAGGTTGTGTCCAAATTTGGTGTAGATCCCATTTGAAATGACGTCACAGTGACGTCATAAGTGAAATTATAGATTTGCGACTCTCATATTCCTCACGATACATCACATATATGGGACCGAATATAAAGGGCCGATTATTGGTCAGAAACTAGATGGAAGTGTAGTAAGATGTTTTAGGATGACAGCAGGTGCTGTCTAGTTCATTTACAGTCGAATTTCATGCTCAGCGTCATCAGAAACGGTCCATATCGGAAAACGACAAAACTTTATGACGTCACTGTGACGTCATCCTAGGTGCTACAACCACCAAACTTTCCTCAAACATTGCCTAGGTATTCATTTGAAGCTATGCCAAGTTTCACGTTCGTAGCTCATCAGGTTTCGGAGATATTTCACAAAACGTAAAGGGGGGGCAACTTTATGCCCCCCCCCCAGCGGCTCGTGGGTTAAATAACGGCTGGTGACCTTCCATGACCTAGCATGACCTTTTGAGTGACCACCGATGACATGACCACTGACGGCTAGCCATTACCTGCACCCTGCCCGTTGCATATGGATCAGGTGGTGATGTCATGATTCTGAAATTATATTGCAGTTTTTGCGCACTTGTCAGAGCAGAAGACATTCCCACTTTTCCTCAATCCTCCATGACTACATATATGATGGTGAAGCGATGATGCTGACCAGACGCAAGGTCGAAAATTTGAAAGTACGAAACGTAAGAATAGTTGGCACTGCTACTCATACCTAAGCAATAGGTACGCAGCTTGTAGGAAACCAGCTTTGAGTTGGCAAGACTGCAAATTTTGATTTAGAGGCAAGGATGCTTGAAAAGGTGATCGATCTTAGGTGTCCTAGGATAAGTTTGGAAACGGGATGCACCATTCGATGTGTTTTGGGCTTTGCGAAGTTTCGTGGCGTTACGTGCCTCGTTTTTTTTTTTTTTGCATACACGATCAGTATCTACTTTTAGGATTTTCGGTCAGGGAAGCCCCCGTCCCCGTCCCCCCCTATCGAAAACCCGTGGCGCCGCCCCTGCCCTGACCCCAATGACCTTTGACCTGTGACCTCTTTTCTGTGACCATGTTTGGCCGAAATCGCGGTTCGGCGCATGTCGGCTCGCATTAGCCGCGCGTTTGCAAGCTTTTCGTGGTTTCAAACGTTCAAACATGTGATTTGATGTTGCTCCCATGCATTAGGGTGGGTGTCAAGGTCACCTGAAGGTCAGGTCAGGTCATTGACCTTTGGTGACCTCGGGTGACCTCGGTTCACTTTTTCGAGTTTTACATGTTTCTAGGCTAGTTTTTGGAGCTGAATTCGAATTTAGCAACCATTTGAACATTTACGAAGTAGTTTTGGTGCCTTCGTAACATGTTACGAAGCTATCCGAAGCGGTTGACACGTATTACGAATACCCGTCACAACCCCTACCGGTTGACCTGACCTGACCTGACCTGGTCTAAATGCTTAAAGACATCATCTCTGATCAAAACTAACACGATATTCGTGATCAGCACCCCGGAAAACCACATAACAGCCACACTTTACGACTTTCTAACAGGTCCCGATTTTCCCGGTTTCGGGTCATTGACCTGACCTGGAAGGTCACCCGATGACCTAGGACCTTAAAATTAGGTATCATCGGCTTCCTCTCGTGACGGGCAACACGCTCGTTTTTTCCGCGAAGCTCTAGCTCAATCAGGGGCCAAACGCGAGGGGGGGTCGTACCAACCCCCCCCCCCCCCCTTGTGCCGTCGAAGGACTCAAAATGGCCTGTGCCGGCGAGGGTTAAAACTTTCTCCGTTTTTATCCATTGTTAACATTTAACAGTGACATCCAACATCTCAGCAGCCCGGGCTCGTTAAGAGTTAGGACTGTTCGCCGCTCCTGACGGCCTCGAACGTTGCACCAGCAATAGACTCCCAGTCCTCAGTGCACTGTTATCCGCCGCTGATCAGCAGTGCCGCCTTCGTGACAGCTTCAGGCGGCTGCGGTTCCATTGTATTGTCAGTTAATGTGACGCCATCCCGTGTTCATCGTTCTGCGCCACCTCATCGATAGGTTACTCACAAGAATCGATAGCTTGTCGCATGTTCATCAGTTTCAGTCGTAATCGCGGCGTTTGGCAATGGTAGCCAGATTGCATCACTCGTTAGAGCAAGGCTACCTTGTGACCAGGGGCGCCGCCACGGATTTTTGACTTGGGGGGACGGACTGACCGACTGAAAACCCAAAAGTAGACATTCTTACCGTGGCTTTTTCGGTCGGATGCATTCAACGTTTAAAGCAAATATGCCACTTTTAACATAGGGTTTTGAACTGAAGTAACAGTTTTGTAGCTTGAGCTGAGACAAGAACAAATCAGGAGCTTTTATGGCCCAACGATCACCCTAGCCAAATACATCGGCATCGATTTGAGGTTTGAAGGCTGACGTCATTCCCATAGATTACACTTTGTCATTCTCTTACCGAGGAATCCATTCCCTTACGGAAAAATGCTAGCCAATCAGCATTCAGCTGATTTGAACTACGCACTATGCTTGGTCAACGCGTAATCAGCTTCCGCTGCAATACCGGTAAGTAGCCTCTACGAAAGATGGAAAATAGTGATGTAAAAATAAATATAAAATTCTTTTGCAAATATCCATTATTTCCTGACCATTTTAAGTTTAAAAACTCATAAAACTGTGGCAAAACAACTGGTTTGAGAAAAGTAGTTAAGGTACATATGAGTCGATTTCTACCGAGTTGGGGGTGCCCGGGCGCAGCAAATTCGCCGCCGCCCTAGCGGTGACCTTGACCCGCGCGGTCTGTTGAGGCTCCAAAGCCAGGCCGGCCGAGCCGGCGGGGAATTTGGAGAGCTCGGGCACCCCCGACTTGGCGGAAATGGACACCCATGTTTAGGTATTTCCTTATAGTAATGGCTATAGACCGCATTCCCACCGAGTACCTACCTATATACACATCTGATGTCCGATTCAGTTTGACACGGCAAAGCCTCGTGTTCTATCACGGTATAATTGCTGATGTATGCCACTAATATGAGCGATAATGCATATTGCATAGGTAA